ACTCTGGCTGGCTCCAGGGCTTGGCTCAGCGGTCCCAGGCCCGGCCACGGAAGGACAGCCTCGGCTGCGGGGGGAGGCCTGGCCCGAGGAGGGGCGGCACGGACTGAGCGGGGTGTGCTGCGGGCTGGGAGCTGGCTCTGGTCTGGGCTGGGCTGAGGGCTCCCACTGTGTCCCTTCACCTCAAAGGGACAAGGTGGGACTGGAGAGGCCTGGGCGGTCAGGGGGGTGGTGCCAGGCACCCAAAGGTCTGCCGATGGCCTCCTGAGCTGGGCCGCAGGCTGAGGACTGGCCACCTCTTGGAGCTGAGGAATGAGGACCACTGGGTGGGAGGCCAGGGCAGGCTGGGTGTGTGCGTGCACATGTGTGTGTTGTGTGCAGGTATGTGCACAGGCATGTGCATGTGCACGTGTGCCAGCAGGCCCTCCCCATGTGGAGCACAGCGCCTGCCCCGGCTCCTGCCTCTGCCACTCCTCACTCCCTGTCTGGCCCTGGCTGCCCCTGCCGCCGTCCCCTCTGCGAAGCAGCCTCATTTCTCTCGTAAGTTCAGCCTGGACATGGTTTCCATGGTATCCGATAAGAATTGGAATTCAAATCATAATTGTGGGGGACATAGGAGGAGGGAGGGAGTGGGGGTTGGAGGCAAGGCCGGGAGGGAGCGCAGGGGACCGGGGTGGGGTGGGGGTTCCCCAGCCCAGGCCCCTGCCTAAGCCGGTGGCTGTTTTTCTTTTATTCCTCAGTGTGTTCCATGCGTCAGAGCTCTCGCCCTCCTTCGTTAGCAATGGTGATGAGCGGAGGTGCCCTCTCCGGTCCACTTGCTGGAATAGAGGTTCCAGCGGAGAAGACCTGTGGGGTGTGAGGAGTGCCTGGGACGTGCCCTCATAAGACAGGGCGCTGAGCTGTGGCTAGGGTTCAGGACTGCCTGCGCGTTCCCCAGATTCTCTCTCGATGACCAGCCTGAAGCTCCGTTAGGACTGCATTCCTTCGGATGTTTTATAAAATGTCAGTGCCTCTGCTGGAGCTCACAGTGAGTGATGGGAGTCCGTGCCTCCCTGCTGGCCTCAAAAGCACAGAGGGTGGGGCACTTGGAGCCTCATGCCTCATCCCTTACCAATCAGAACGCCTGGCAGGTGAGTAAGTGCATGATGGATGGGCAGCGGTTCCGGTGCTCAGTGGGCCTGGGCGCTGCAGCATCCTTCACTGCGGGAGCAGGTTCCCAGGCCACCAGAGCGTCTGCTCACACGGGGGAGGGGAGGGGCTGGGGGAGGCTGGGATGCCAGTCGGGGTCAGTACTGCTGTGCTGTCCTGGCTGCCAGGGCCCCAAGGGGAGTGGACAGAGGGCTCTCTGCAGGCTGAGAAGACACTTCTGGGGCCTCAGGGACCCTGCTGTCGTGAGACTCAGGCAGAGCAGAGGTAGCAGGAAAAGGGAGAGTGTGGGGGTGCCCCAATTCAGAAGGCACCTCCTGTGGGTAGGTGTTCAAACTGTCTGCTGGCAGGAGGTAGCAGACAGTGGTGGCTTTTTTTTTTTTTTTAAATAAGTATATTTTATTGATTTTTTACAGAGAGGATGGGAGAAAGATAGAGAGCTAGAAATGTTGATGAGAGAGAAAAATCGACCAGCTGCCTCCTGCACACCCCCCACCGGGGATGTGCCCGCAACCAATGTACATGCCCTTGACCGGAATCGAGCCTGGGACCTTTCAGTCCACAGACCGACGCTCTACCACTGAGCCAAACCGGCTTCGGCCAGTGGAGGCTTTTTGAGAGGACAGGGTTAGTGCCCCTACCCTGTTCCCAGGCCCCTCAACTGCTGACCCACCCCTAGCTTTGCCCCCTCAATTCCCTCAGTTGGTGTGTGGAGACCAGAGTCAGATGTCAGAGAACCCCACACCCCTTCCTCTGTTCTCTGCCTAGAGCACAGACCAGGAAATTGAGGCTCAGGAGGGGTTAGTGTGGGTTCAGGGCTCCCTGACACCAGGCTGTGAGGGGCCCCATGACCCACAGGGGGCGCTCCTGCACAAGCCCCTCTTCCTCCACGGCTTCCTGAAGCTCTGGAGGGTGGATGGGACCTGAACTGGGGGATCTTGGCCCCCACCCCCCAGCTTCTCGGAGACATGACCAAAGCCCACATGTGTTGGTTAAAGGGCCCCAGTGGGGAGGGGATGTCTGCTGTGCTAGCAAATATTTGTTGAATGAGTGCATGAATGAATGAGGGCATTAATGAATGAGTGGGTGGATCAGTGAGTGAGTGAATAGATGAGTGAGTGAATAGATAAGTGAGGAGATGGATGAGTGAGTGGATAAGTGAGGAGATGGATGAGTGAGTGAACAAATGAGTGAATGGATGAGTGAGTGGATGAATGAGTAGATGAATGAATGAGTTAATGGATAAGTGAGGAGTTGGGTTAGTGAGTGAATGAATGAGTGGATGGATGAATGAGTGAGTGGATGGTTGAGTGAGTGGATTGAGTGAGTGGATGACTGAGTGGATGAGTGAATGAATGGATGAGTGAGTGGATGGATGAGTGAGTGGATGATGAGTGAGTGGATGAGTGAGTGGATGGATGAGTGAATGAATGGATGAGTGAATGAGTGGATAGATGAGTGAGTGGATGAATGAGTGAATGGATGAATGAGTGAGTGAGTGGATGGATGATTGAGTGAGTGGATGGATGATTGAGTAGATGAGTGAGTGGATGGATGAGTGAGTGGATGAATGAGTGAGTGAGTGGATGGATGATTGAGTGGATGGATGAGTGAGTGGATGAGTGAGTGAATGGATGAGAGTGGATGAGTGAGTGAATGGATGAGTGAGTGTATGAGTGAGTGGATGAGTGAGTGGATGAATGTGTGAGTGGATGGATAATTGAGTGGATGGATAATTGAGTGGATGAATGGATGGATGAGTGAGTGGATAAGTGAGTGGATGATTGAGTGGATGAGTGAGTGGATGAGTGAATGGATGAATGAGTGAGTGAGTGAATGGATGGATGAGTGAGTGGCTGGATGAGTGAATGGATGAGTGAATGGATGGATGAGTGAGTAGATGGATGTGAGAATGAGTTAATGGATGAGTGAATGGAGTGGATGGATGAGTGAGTGGATGAGTGAGTGAGTAGATGATTGAGTGGATGAGTGAGTGGATGGATGAGTGAATGGATGAGTGAATGGATGGATGAGTGAGTGGATGGATGAGTGAATAGGTGAGTGAGTGGATGGATGAGTGAGTGGATGGACGAGTGAACAGATGGATGCACATAGGCCCACAGCAGTGGAGCCAGTCAGGGGGCCACCATTTCCTTTATTGAGAAACTCAGGATTCTGTTGATGGCTATACATTGAGGTGGGGTGTGAAGTGACATTATTATTGACCAGTCACTGGGGACACTGGACTCCAAGGCTGGACCTGCCAACACATGGAGCCCCGGAGTGACAACATGATGAGGCCAGCAGCTGACGTGGCACCAGGATGGCTGGGCAGGTGGCAGACAGGGCCCAGGATAACACTAGGAAGGCGGCTCTGAGTGGTTGTGTCCAGGTCTGGGTGGTGGGGTCTCCATCTTGTGTCTGCTCTGCCTCCCCTCAGAGATGTCTGTCCATTCTGGGCAGGGTCCTCCGGGACAGCCACCTGCAGCCTGACGGGACCCGCTGTGGGCCTGCTCCCTGTGTGCAGGGCTCCAGGCCGGCCACACTGACGGTCGAAGGGCCGGGCTGGTGTGGCCCGCTCACAGTGTGAGCCTGAGTCCGGGGACTCTGGGCAGGACGAGCCCTGAGTCCTGAGTCCACGCTGCCCCTGCGAACTGCCTGCTGTCTCCCACGCCCGGGAGGCTCCTAGGAAAAGGTCTGTGTCTTGCGCTCTGCCCTCTGCACCGGAGGCCTGGCTGCCGGGGCAGCCCCGGGGGGGTCGGACCTGCTCGGGGCTGGGCTGGCGCGTCTTTGGAGACTGGCTCCTGCAGAGCCAGGAGGCGCCTGCTTCTCTGGTGCCGGCTGGGCCGGGGCCTGCAGCTGGTGACAAACAGTCTGGTCCTCCTGGCTGCCGGCCCTCATCGCCCCTCCTACCTGCGGCTGCCAGGGCCCCAGTCCCGCTGCCCGGGCTGGGCTGCCGGCCACCTGGCAGCGGGTGAGAGCATGTCCCTGGCCTGGGTCTCCTCCACCCCCATGAAGGGTCCCTGCAGAGCCTCACTGCACCTTGGTGGGGGGAGGAGGCGGAGTGGCCGCAGTGCAGGCTGACCTGTCCTTGGGCACTTCCGAGCTTCCTGGGAACTGCCTGGGCGGGCGGCCCGTCTGCCCTCGCTCCTGCTCGGAGCTGGACTGGCAGTGGAGGGAGGAGGGTCAGTCCTCTCTTCACTCACCAGGCAGTCCTGCCGCTGGCTCCTCCCATGCTCACCTTGGGGTCCTGGCCTCCCAGGGCCAGTCAGGCAGCTCCAGCCCCACCCCACCCCAGGCCGCCCCTCTCTCCTCCAAACCCGTCAGTCTGGGGCAGCCTGCCTTCAACGTGGGCTCTCCTCAGTGAGGCTCTTTTGGGGTCTGGGGAAAACAAGGCCAGGTGGGAGGCTGGGAGGGAGGGGGAGGGGAGAGAAGCAGAAGGAAGAGCCTCTGGGTATGAGGCCCAGTGCAGGCCCCGCCCCCAACCCCCGCTGCTGCCAATCCAGGCAGCCAGCATAGAGGTGGGGGCCAATCGGCAGGCCAGCCCCCTCCCAGCCCCCTCCCTGCCTCCTCCCAGCCCCCTCCCTGTCCCTCCTAGCCCCCTTCCTGCCTCCTCCCAGCTCCCTCCCTGTCCCTCCCTGCCCCCTCCCTGCCCCCTCCCTGCCCCCTCCCTGCCCCCTCCCTGCCCCCTCCCTGCCTCCTCCCTGCCCCACCCCCCCCCCCCCCCCCCCCCCGGCACTGCGTCACGGGTCACCGGTCACCGCCCTCCCAGCCCCCTCCCAGCCCCCTCCCAGCCCCCTCCCTGCCCCCTCCCTGCCCCCCCTGGCACTGCGTCACCGGTCACCGCCCTCCCAGCCCTAGAAGAGCCTCTCCCTGGTGAGGTTGCTGGAGAAGGTGAGGTTGCTGGACACACTGTTGGTCTTCCTGGAGAGGGCGGGCCTGGCGCTCCTGCGCGCCCACAGGGGGCAGAGGCAGGCCAGCGTGGCCAGGAAGGTCTGGCGGAAGCGGGCGGAGACCAGGTTGTACAGCACGGGGTTGGCGGCCGAGCTGACGTAGAAGAGGGCGTTGGTCAGCATGTAGAAGTAGTGGTAGAAGTCGTAGAGGAACCTGCGGGGAGGGCCGCTCAGACCGCCTGACAGCCGCCAGCACACGGGGCTGGGACAGTGATGTTTGATGTGAGGATGTTTCTAACAGTTCCTGAGAAGTTCAAGTTCTGGCTGCAGTCCCCGGCACGTGTCAGCAGCAGGCTGTGACTGCTCGGCTTGCCGCTCCCGCCCCCCAGTGGCCGGCCCCCACCCCCCACAGTGACCCCCCCCCCGCCCCGCAGTGGCCCCCCCCTACCCCCCTGTGCAGGCCCCGGGCCCCGGGCTGCAGGGCTCAGTGGTGCTGACTCCAGCCCAGCAGCTGGGCAGCTGTGCCCTCACCCTTACTTGTTTGCGTCCGATCACAGGGACCTCCCCCTCACAGACGCTCACATCAGCACCAGGCACCCCTGACTTTCAGAAACCCTTTACTCGGGCTCTAACCTCTCCATCCCGGGCTCCCTTCCGGGAAGCACTGGGCGCAGAAGAGCTGGCCTGGGCTGGTTGGAGGGCGCCGAAGTGTCAGCGTATGGGGGTGGGCTCAGTCCCTGGCCCTCCTGAGCTCTGCGACCCTCTAGCCCGGCTCAGCTCGCACTCCCTGCGGCCCTCTCCCGCCAAGTCCGCTGCCGGCACTGTCCCTCCCCGTCTGGTCACACCGCGCCCGAGGGCCCTGCGCACCGCCTGCCGGTCCTCCCAGCGCCCACGCCCGCCAGCCTCGTACTCACGGGGTCCACTGCTCGTCGGAAACGTAGCAGAACATGAGGCGCCGCACGTGGTAGGGCAGCCAGCAGACCACGAAGGCGATGACCACGGCGCCTGAGACAGAGAGAACCGGCCTCGGGTGAGGGGCCAGGGCTGGTGTGTGGACCAGAAGGCTCAGCGCCGGGGAGACCTCCACGCAGCCCGGGAGGCGCACAGGTTCAGTGTCACCCCAAATCCCAGCAGCGCTGGTCGCAGAAGTAGAAGTCACCCTGAAACTGCTGTGGAATCCCAAAGCACCCTGAGTAGCCCGAGAGAACAAAGCTGGACTCGACTTCCTGGTTTCAAAACGTACCGAAAAGCTACAGGAAGCAAACCAAGGGCCCTGGCAGGACAGACAGCGAAGGGATGCACCCAAGAGCCGGGAAGGAAGCTCACGCCGGAAGGAAGGTGCCGGTGAGCAGGCGTCCAGACCACCGAGGCCAAAGGGCAGCCTTTGCCGCACCCGGAAGGAAGGAGCCCGGCCTTCCCTCACAACCACACCGAATGTACAGATCAAACACAGCTCCAAAAGGGCCAGGGACCTAATGTGAGAGCTGAGCGCCTAAAGCTCTCAGGAGAAAACAGACAGGAGCGGTGCCACAGCGTGACTTCTTGGATATGTCGCTGACGACACAGGCAAGGAAGGAAAAACAGATAATTCATACGTCAAAGCAAACGGTATCCAGGACACAGTCCAGGGAAAGACAACGCAGAATGGAGGAACATGTTCGCAAACTATGCGTCTCTGACCAGGTTAATATAGAGAACTTCTAACGAAGACGGCCTGGCTGGGTGGAGTGCGACTCCTAGTCAGGGCTCTTACCCAGGGCGTGTGCCTAATCCTCGGTCAGCACATGGAGGCAACCAGCCCAGGTTCCTCCCTCCCTGCCTCCCTCCCTCCCTCCCTCCCTCCCTCTCTCCCTTTCTAAAATCAATAAAAAACATATCACGGGTGGGGAGTTAAAATGTATAGGGTGTCCCCAAAAAAGTAGATGTACACTTTGAATAATTATAAAGGCAGTGTTTATTAAAATACCAGAGGCTCAGTGCACTGGGGGTGGGGGAGTCCCTGGGCCGGCCTGCGCACTTTTGCCATCTGGGAGCCCTCGGGGACATCCTTAGTCGTCAACCCAGCTTCTGGCTGAGTGGCGCTCCCGCTGTGGGGGCGCACTGACCCCGGGGGGGAGTGTGTGGGGGAAGCTCCTGCATGGAGTGTCTGTCCCCTGGTGGTCAGCGTGCGTTATAGTGACCAGTTGTTCCACTGTTCAGTTGATTTGCCTATTACCCTTTTATTATATAGAATATTTACTGTCATGTACTTAAAACAGAATTTAATAATATGCAAATAATATGTTTATTCTGCTCTAACTCTTTTTTTAAATATATTTTATTGATTTTTTATAGAGAGGAAGGGAGAGAGATAGAGAGCCAGAAACGTTGATGAGAGAGAAACATCGACTAGCCGCCTCTTGCAACACCCCCCCACTGGGGATGTGCCCGCAACCAACGTACACGCCCTTGACTGGAATCGAACCCGGGACCTTTCAGTCCGCAGGCCGACACTCTACCTCTGAGCCAAACCGGTTTCGGCTGCTCTAACTCTTTACTAGGCATCTTAGCAAGCAAAATAAAGGGCATAATAAAAATTTGAGAGGTCATAATAAATACACAAAAGAAATACAGTAGATCAAATGTTGGCTAGCAATGGGAGGACCCCTTTGTGAGTGTATGCGTGTCTAACTACTATGCTTGCACCTGAAACTGACACAAAATAGTAATAAATGTAAACTGTAATTAAAAAATATGCAAACAGATAAAAATATTTTATTAGGAGATCAAAATAAAATATTAGTATCTTAAAAAGTCAAATAATAAAATAAAATACATTTCATTTTCAAAATTGAGACACCATTTTTTGGGGGGCCCCTGTGTATATGTGAATGGCAACGAAGGACTGGCATAGACTTTTACCAAAGATGCTAACCCATGACCAATGAGCACAGGAAAAGATGCTCAACACCACTCCCCTCAGGGAAACGAAAATCAGAACTTTGAGATGCCACCTCATGCCCATTAGAATGGCTGCTACAAAAAAAAAACACACACAGAACAAACAACCAAAAAATCCACCTCTGGCTCTCTGTCCAGTGCTGTGGGAAACAGTGTGGCTGTTCTTACAAACATTAGAACAGAACGACCTCCAGCAATTCCTCCGCGGACCCACGCTCCCTAGTGGACCTTGAGGGCCTTATGCTCAGGGACAGAGGCCAGCCACCAAGCACTCGACTCCAATTCCACTCTCAGCACCAGCCAGCTGGCTCGCCAGGCCCCCACCGCAGGGCCTTTGCACAGCTGTGCCCTCCGTCTGCAGCTCGGTTGCCAAGATCAGTTTCTGGGCAGCCGATCAATGAGTCTCTCTCCTCATTGATGTTTCTCTCTCTCCCTCTCCCTTCCTCTCTGACAAAAACAAACAAACAAACAAACAAAACAAAACAACAACAACAACACCAGCTCCTGGTCCTGCTGATCTCAGCTGGGTGTCTCTCCTCAGCTCCGGCTGCCAGGTCATGGTTTTTCTTCTTCACGCTCATCCCTGTCTGAACGTGTGAAGTGTGTGTTTGCTTCCTCTAGTTCAGCCTGTGCTCCCACCGGAATGTAGGGGTGACCCTGCCACTGCTGCCTGGATCTGTGATGTGCTGATGGGTGCATGGACAAATGGAAGAGTGCATGAATGGGTGTGAGTGGCTGAGGCGTGAACGGGTGTGAGTGGCTGAGGCGTGAACGGGTGTGAGTGGCTGAGGCGTGAACGGGTGTGAGTGGCTGAGGCGTGAACGGGTGGGTGAGTGGCTGAGGCATGAACAGGTGTGAGTGGCTGAGGCGTGAACGGGCGGGTGAGTGGCTGAGGCGTGAACGGGCGGGTGGGTGGCTGAGGCGTGAACGGGCGGGTGGGTGGCTGAGGCGTGAACGGGCGAGGGGGTGGCTGAGGCGTGAACGGGCGAGTGGGTGGCTGAGGCGTGAACGGGTGGGTGAGTGGCTGTGGCGTGAACGGGCGAGTGAGTGGCTGTGGCGTGAACGGGCGGGTGGGTGGCTGAGGCGTGAACGGGTGGGTGAGTGGCTGTGGCGTGAACGGGCGAGTGAGTGGCTGAGGCATGAACGGGCGAGTGAGTGTCTGAGGCGTGAACGGGTGAGTGAGTGGCTGAGGCGTGAACGGGCTGGTGAGTGGCTGAGGCGTGAACGGGTGTGAGTGGCTGAGGCGTGAACGGGCGGGTGAGTGGCTGAGGCGTGAACGGGCGGGTGGGTGGCTGAGGCGTGAACGGGCGGGTGGGTGGCTGAGGCGTGAATGGGCTGGTGAGTGGCTGAGGTGTGAACGGGTGAGTGGCTGAGGCGTGAACGGGTGAGTGGCTGAGGCGTGAACGGGTGGGTGAGTGGCTGAGGCGTGAACGGGTGAGTGGCTGAGGCGTGAACGGGTGAGTGGCTGAGGCGTGAACGGGTGAGTGAGTGGCTGAGGTGTGAACGGGTGAGTGAGTGGCTGAGGTGTGAACGGGTGGGTGAGTGGCTGAGGCGTGAACGGGTGAGTGGCTGAGGCGTGAACGGGTGGGTGAGTGGCTGAGGCGTGAACGGGTGAGTGGCTGAGGCGTGAACGGGTGAGTGGCTGAGGCGTGAACGGGTGAGTGGCTGAGGTGTGAACGGGTGAGTGGCTGAGGCGTGAACGGGCGGGTGAGTGGCTGAGGCGTGAACGGGCGGGTGAGTGGCTGAGGCGTGAACGGGTGAGTGAGTGGCTGAGGTGTGAACGGGTGAGTGAGTGGCTGAGGTGTGAACGGGTGGGTGGCTGAGGCGTGAACGGGTGAGTGGGTGGTAGATGGCGGATGAGTGAATGAGTGCAGTGGAGAGCAGCGCCGGCCTGGTGAGCCGGCACCCACAGGTCTTTAATCACTGCCTTGCCTGGGGGTGAAGCACTCACTGCTTTGCTGGTCTCGCCCCCCCCTCCCCCAGAAGGCCCAGGGGTTACATACGTAAAACCAGGACTCCGTGGCGCAGAGCCTGGACCCGGCCGGGCTCCACGGACACGCTAAACGAGCTGTGCTTTTCCCCAGCCGTGCACACGTGGCCCTGCTCAGCCGCCTGGCGCACCATGACCGTCAGCTTGTTGGCGATGATGGTGTTGAGGATGGAGATGGCCACCATGGGGAACACGAAGGACATGAAGGTGTTGATCTGCGGAGAGAGGAGAGCCGTCGGCCCTGCTGGCTCGGGTGCTTGGTCTGTTGGGGTGACTGGCAGACGAGGCCGCCATCCCCAGCCTGGAGCGGCCTGCTCCCTGCCCGGGGCCCACAGGAGGTTGCCCGCTGCTCAGGGGCTGGGCCGGGCCCAGAAAACAAACGATTCCCTGGTTCCCCGTGAGTCACCACAGAAGCGTCTAATTTAAAGAGAGTGTATCCAACACAGATTTTAAACGTCAAAACATTTAAGATACAGCCCCTCCCTGAGTGCAGGAGCATAAATAGCTACTTCTGGGGGCAGGATGGGCCCGTGGGCTGGGGAGCTGGAGGGGGAGGAGGCCGCGGCCCTGCAGCCCCACCTGGGTGTCCGACTGGAGATAAAACTCAGGCCGATGCCTGCTTCCGGGGGGCAGGGGCACGATGCCTGTCCTGGCCTCCCAGCCTCCAGCCTGGAGACCAGGCAGCGCATCGGAGGTGCTGGCACGGGGGCTCTGCCTTCTCTTGCCAAGGCTCACTGCATCAATGAGGGCTCAGGCTGTGCCCCTTTTCTGCACTCTACCCCCCACTTCTGGAACAGGGGAACAACAGCCCAGCCCCCACCCTGCAACAAGCGAAGAGAAGGCATCTGACAGCCCTTGCAGTGTGGCCACAGGAGGGAAAGAGGCTGCCAGGGCCCCAGACAGAGATGGGGACACGGACAGGTGTGCTTGGTCTGTGCATTTGTCCAAATAAAGCATGAGAGTGCCTTGGGGATCGACAGGCTAATTCTCAAATTGAAATGGAAAAATAGCATCATCTAAGGATAGCCAGGAAAGTTCCGGAAAGGCGGAGTGGTGCGTCAGCACGAGACAGGGAGGCCAGCGGAGCTGCGATGGAGCACCGAAAGGACTCCCCCGAGGACAGCGGCACGGGCGTGGGCAGACAGGAGAGGCAGGACGTTCACGCCGGGATGGAGAGGCGCCCGAGCAGGCGGGAAGGGGTGTCCGTCTGCAAGGCCAGGAGGCTGCTCCCTCTGCCCCTTCCCAGGCCCCCTGCGTCTCCTGGGAACTGCCCATCCTCCCAGGCCTGGCCAAGCAGCACATTGGGAAGCCCGGCAGGCCCCCATTGGAGAAATGACCCACCACACCGTCCACTGAGGCCGCCACCGGCCTCCGCCAGGGCTTCCCGCTGTGATGCCCGCTGCGGAGGCGGGAGCTCCTGGCGTGGTTCCGCTCCGACTCAGCGGGGCCTGCAGCCCTCACTCCTCAGCAAAGTACCCCCACCCGCCCGGCTAAGACAGCCCAAACCAGCTCCTGAGACGCGCAGCCGAACAGGCCGACGACGGAAGCAGCCTCGGGCGGGACTGCGTGAGGGGAGCGTGGCGCTGGGCTTCTCGCCGCTGCTGCTGGAATTTAAACGGCCACTCTGGCTGCGGGGACATTTTGCTGTGAAATTGGTGATGGGACAGCCTAGGGAGATATTCCTGACTTGCTCTCCAAATGTTTCCACGTTCCCGCCCTTCTCTGCCTCTGGCATCGGTAATTTGTGAGGGAGACGGAGGGCAATAAACGGCCAAACCATCGGCAGGGAGTGTGTCCGGGCCGCTGGGCGGAGGGCGGGCCCTGGGCGGGTCCGCAGACAGGAGCCGCGGGCCTGGCGGTGAGGGCCGCCCGCTGCAGAGGGTGGTCACCGCCCGTCCCGCCCTCGGTGCTCAGGTAAGGCAGCCCGGACGCAGCCACTGCCTCCGCCGGCAGCCCGGGCGTGCGGGTGTGTGTGTGTGTGTGTGTGTGTGTGTGTGTGTGTGTGTGCTAAGTACCCTTACCATTGTGCAGACCCCAGTGGCTTCCTGACACTGTGTCTGAAATGGCTTCCTGGGCGGCAGGGCCCCGGCAGGCGACCAGCCCAGCCAGGCCTGGCTCACAGGGGCGGCCTCTGACCTCCGGGCAGACTCCAGACCAACAGGATGCGCCTCAGACCCCCGAGTCCCGGAACAAAGGGAGAGCCAGGGTTTCCAGGGCAGGGACGATGCGGCGAGCCTCCCCACAGCCGCGTGCCACGGCCAGGCCACGCCACGCCACAGTCTTGTTTGTAAGGCAACTTCCGTGCTCACTACTGGAGCTGGCTGGTACGTCGATGCACCCACACCAGGGCTGCTCCGGCGACATGCATGAGAGTGAGCCGCCAGGGGGCTGAGGCCACAGCTCAGGGGCGAGCGGGGACAGAGCAGCCTGCGGGTCCTGACGTGAGGGACGGCCCACGCCAGGACGGCTTCTGAGAGGAACCAACGCCAGGACGGCTTCCGAGAGGAACCAACGGTGCGCCCCGCGCAGGCGGCTCCGGAGGGGATGTCTTGAGCTCAGAGCACGGAGGAGCGGGGACACCTCTGCGGGAGGTGCCCTGGGACGGAGGGCTGGAGGGGGAAGGGGCGGGGCCTCGGGGGCCTGACTTCATCTCAGAAGGACCAGGAGCCGAGAGGGAGGACAGGTCTCTCCAGGTGACGGCCCAGAGTGTCCCTGGTGACCGTGCCCTTGGCTGTTCCTCATCCAATGAGCACCTGATGCTTAGATGCTGCGGGACCCAGGGTGAAAGGGCCGCTGCCTAGCAGCACTCACATGGGCCGCAGCACGAGCGTCTGGGAAAGGAGACAGCGCCGCCGAGTGGCTCACCCCGAGGAGTCCGGCGTGGGGCTGGGGCGGGGCCCTCGCATTTCCCCAGGACTGCTAGCATTTCTGAGCCGAAGGGGGAGGACCCGGGGACAGGACGGGGATGGGCCAGGAGATACTGAGTCATCTGACTGCCTGAGAAGCCACCACGGGAGGGGACTTAGGGCTACGTGCAGCTTAGCTGCTTCCGGCCACAAGTCTCAGCTGTGCACAGCTCAGCTGGCCCACCATTAGGCAGCTTGGACACACAGATTTTGGCTCAATGCAATAAAGGACATTCAGTGCTTCTAACCCCCACTTCCCAGTTGGTACGCAGCCTTTAGCTGTTAACAAGGCGGGGCAGCGTGCTCAGGACTCGGGATGTCCCCCAGGGACACACATGTCCGATCCCTGGACAGAAGCCTCCGGCACCCTCACTTTGCAGAAGGAAGAATGCAGCAGAGCTCTGAGCTGGCCGGCTGGCCCGGGGAGCGTCTGGGCAGACTCGCCGGGCGCAGCGTGAGGGGCGGAGCGTGAGAGCAGGGGCGCAGCCAGGGAGAGTGAGGCCGTCCTCACGGCAAGCTTCCCGGAGAGGACACTTTGTGGGGCAGCGGCAAACTTGTGAGAATAACTTCTAGTTCTTGGCGATCTCTCAAGGCTGAGCCTCCGTCCTTCTCTCTCCTCCCGCGTGGCCAGGCTCCGCCCAGCTCGGGAGAGGCTGGACCAGAGCCACTGCTGACAAAGAGGACAGGATGCTGGAGTCCCAGGAGCCCCGGTCAGCACCACGGACAGTGACCCATAAACCCGATGGGGCTGCCCAGGGTTCCAGGGAGCCAAGGGCGCCCCAAACTGCAGGAACCCCGTATGCAGGCCCTATACAAGGGAGTCTCCCCGACCCCCAGGGCCAGAGCCGCAGAGCCAGCACAGAGTCCGAGAACACGCTGGAACAGGAGCCGCGTCCTGCCTGCTCGGGGGGAGGGGGGGGTGTCTGCGGCCTGGCCCAGCCCAGCAGCTGGTCTCCCGGCAAACCTGCCCTCCCTGTGCCAGGGAGGTGTCCTCTGGAGGGCAGGACAGGGCCTCCCGTGGCCTGGCCGATGTCCACTCGGAGGCAGCAGCTGGGGGAGGGCTGGCTTTTCGGCCTGCCAGCACCTCTCAGGGCGGCATGGAAGCCACCCACACAGAGTGCCACCGCGGAGGTGGAGGGCCAGTCTGAGTGTTTTCAAACGTCTGCCGGCCGAAAAGCCACGCGGGTGTTCAGACCAGGGGGGTGTCCGCCAGCAGCAGCAAAGGGGCTTTAATACCTTCGGAGGGACAGTGTCGGAGCGTGAGAGGCTGGTGGACAGCATTGGGCAGGAAGAAGCCTCAGGGGTCGCCTAACCACGCGGGTCGCAGCCCTGTTCCTACTGCACTTCACACTGACAGCGACCCTTTGCCAGCCTGGCTGCCGCTTACCCGCGTGCCAACATAGCCGACGCGGCCGGGTCTGCTAAGCCTCTTGTCTGCACTTTGCCCGGTGCTGGGCGCTGATTGAAGCTGAGGGATCCCAGGGTTCTGGGGCTGCACATGGGCCCTGGCAGCAGCCGCCCCGGAGAGGGTGCCCCGCGCCAGCAGGGGGGTGGGGCCTGGTCCTTACCAAGCCGGCTGGGAGTGGCTTTCCTGGAAGTCGTTCAGAACCCTCGGCCGCAGCTCAGGGAGGTCCCGCGAGTCCGGGACACGCTTTGCTGCAGGCCAGAGCCCGCAGCGCTGACTGCGCACAGAGAGGTCCCACCTGCAGCCGGGCCTGGCGGGGCCTGGGGCCTGCCCCTCCATGCAGCTGGCCCGTCGCCTGAGTGCTGTGTGCCCGTCATGGCCACAGCTGAGTCTCCAGCCCACAATTCCGGTGTTTTCCTGCCCTGTAACTGTGTGGGCTGTCCCCTCTCGATGTTGAATTGCTGGCCATTGGCAGCATCGGGCCCTGAGCTCTGTGCAGCTTCCGGCTCTTTTCGGTAAATCAGCCCTTCCCCGCTCAGGGTGGATCTCAGCACGGTGGGCCAGACCCGGCCGATGGCGGAGGGCCAGGAGCAGGGCCACGGTGTCCTCGGAGGCCCCACGGGAAAGGGACTCACCCAACTCCGCCAGCATTTGGCGGTTTCTTCCCAAACTGACCAGCCGCTGGGCGTGGCGGGACCTTGTGCTCTGGGCTTAACCCCCAGGATGTGACACCTTTTGTGTTGTTGTTGTTAATCCTCACCTGAAGGGATTTTTCCATTGATTTTTTTTTTTTTTTTTTTTTTAAGGAGAGAGAGAGAGAGAGAGAGAGAGAGAGAGAGAGAGACATTGATGTGAGAGAGACACTTCCATCGATTGCCTCCTGCATCTGCCCTGACCAGGGCTG